ACTGCCCTGAAAGACAAACCACGGCCGACTTCCTCACCTCTCTGACCAGCCCTTCGGAGCGCCGCGTCCGCCCTGGATTTGAGAGTGTAGTGCCTCGCACCCCCGATGAGTTTGCCACGAAATGGAAGGAGAGCGCAGAGCGGAAACAATTGCTGATCGACATTGAGGCGAGTCGATCTCAACACCCTGTGGGAGGTGACAAGTTTGATGAGTTCAATCGTTCTCGCGCCGCTGAAAAGGCCAAGGGTACCCGAGCAGGCTCACCATTCACGCTGTCATATATGATGCAAGTTCGCCTGTGTCTCTGGCGTGGATTTCTGCGTATGAAGGGAGACATGAGCATGACGCTAGCCTCTGTGATTGGCAACATCATCATGGGCTTGATCGTCGCGAGTGTGTTCTACAACCTCGACCAGACGACTGGCAGCTTCTTCCAACGCGGTGCCTTGCTCTTCTTCGCCATTTTACTTAATGCTTTCGCTAGCTCTTTGGAAATTTTGACCCTTTGGGACCAACGGCCGATCGTGGAGAAACATGACAAGTACGCCTTGTACCATCCCTCGGCTGAGGCATTCAGCTCTTTGCTTGTCGGTCTACCGGACAAGTTTATGACAGCTGTTGTCTTCAACCTAATCATCTATTTCCTGCCTGATCTCCGACGTACCCCCGGCCACTTCTTCGTCTTCTTTCTGTTCTCATTCTCGACTACTCTCACCATGTCCAACATCTTCCGCTGGATAGGAGCCATCTCACGCTCCAAAGAGCAGGCGATGGTTCCAGCCTCGATATTCATGATGATTTTGGTCATTTACACAGGTTTCACTATCCCGGTCCGAGACATGCACCCGTGGTTCCGATGGCTGAATTACCTGAACCCAATTGCATACGCTTTTGAAGCTCTCATGATCAACGAATTCAGTGGCCGCCATTTCCCGTGTTCTGCGGCGGACTTTGTCCCTTTCTACCCAAATGCGCCTCTTAGTTCCAAGATTTGCTCTCAAAAGGGGGCAGTGTCCGGGCAGAATTTCATTGATGGCGACGCCTACATCAATACCTCGTTCCAATACTACAAGCAGCATCTGTGGCGCAACTACGGTATTATATGTGCATTTTTTGTCTTTTTCCTGGCGGCCTACATTATCTGCAGCGAGCTTGTCAGAGCCAAACCGTCAAAGGGAGAAGTTTTGGTCTTTCCGCGAGGCAAGATTCCAGCTTTTGCTAAGAACACCCGCAAGGATGACGCGGAGGACTCATCGACGGCAGAAAAGGCCGCCCCTGCTGTTGAAAGCCATGACCAGCAAGTCGCATCCATTGCCCGACAAACGGCCATCTTCCACTGGCAGGATGTCTGTTATGACATCAAGATCAAGGGCAATCCGCGTCGTATCCTGGATAATGTTGACGGATGGGTGAAACCTGGAACTCTGACTGCGTTGATGGGTGTGACCGGTGCAGGCAAGACGTCCTTGCTAGATGTACTGGCAAACCGAGTGACGATGGGAGTCATCACCGGCGAGATGCTCGTCGATGGTCGACCTCGCGATGGCTCGTTCCAGCGCAAAACAGGCTACGTCCAGCAACAGGACCTGCATCTCGAAACTAGTACTGTGCGTGAAGCGCTCGTCTTTAGTGCTCTGCTTCGCCAACCGCACCGCGTGCCCCGCCAGGAAAAGCTCGACTATGTCGAAGAAGTGATCAAGATGCTTGGTATGGAAGAGTATGCAGAGGCGGTGGTCGGTGTCCTTGGCGAGGGTTTGAACGTGGAGCAGCGCAAGCGCTTGACTATTGGTGTGGAAATCGCTGCTAAGCCGGACCTGCTTCTCTTCTTTGATGAACCTACGTCTGGTCTGGACAGTCAAACCGCATGGTCTATCTGCAGTCTCATGCGCAAGCTGGCTGACCATGGACAAGCTGTTTTGGTAATCATATTGCTCATTTATATGCATGGAATACTAACAGACAGCAGTGTACCATCCATCAACCGAGTGCCATGTTGATGCAGCAATTCGATCGACTCCTGTTCCTGGCCAAGGGAGGTCGCACAGTCTACTTCGGCGAGCTGGGTCCGTACATGGAGACTCTGATCCGGTATTTCGAGAATAAGGGTTCTGTTAAGTGCCCAGAGAACGCCAACCCGGCAGAGTGGATGCTGGAAATTATCGGCGCTGCTCCGGGATCCCATGCGGACCGAAACTGGGCAGACGAATGGAACAACAGCCCGGAGCGGGCGCAGGTTCGACGCGAGTTGGCTGAGATGAAGGAAGAACTACTACAGAAACCTGTGCCGCCGCCGACGGCTGGCTATGGAGAATTTGCGACACCGTTGTGGTACCAATTCGTCGTCTGCATCCATCGCATGTTCCAGCAGTACTGGCGCAGTCCGGGCTATATGTACGCCAAGGCGGCCATGTGCATCGTTCCAGTGAGTCTCCAGGCGCATTGTGTATGTGAATGAGTGCTAACGCTTTTTTAGCCTCTGTTTATCGGATTTACCTTCTGGCGCATGCCCAACAGTCTTCAAGGTCTCCAGAACCAGATGTTTGCCATCTTCATGCTGCTCATCATCTTCCCCAACCTGGTACAACAAATGATGCCTAGCTTTGTTACGCAGCGGTCCCTGTACGAGGTGCGGGAACGTCCGTCGAAGGCCTATTCATGGAAGGCGTTCATGCTGGCTAGTATCTTTGTCGAGCTGCCCTGGAACGTCGTGATGTCGGTGCCAATCTTCTTTTCGTGGTACTATCCGATTGGCCTCTACCGGAATGCATACCAGACCCATTCCGTGACTTCACGCAGCGGGACCATGTTTTTACTCATTTTGATCTTCATGCTATTTACCTCGACCTTCAGTTCGATGATGATTGCGGGCATCGAGCAGGCAGAGACTGGCAGCAACATTGCACAACTATTGTTCTCGCTCTGCCTGATCTTCAACGGGTAAGTCTTGTTACATTTTTTCGAATCGTGTCGGCGCTAATCTTTCCCCAGTGTGCTGGCGAGCCCCCAAGACTTGCCTGGTTTCTGGATCTTCATGTACCGCATTTCGCCCTTTACGTATCTGGTATCGGCAGTGCTTTCCACCGGTGTGTCCGGCGCTTCCGTCACATGCTCTGCAATCGAGCTGCTCCATATATCGCCTCCGAAGGGCGAAACATGCATGAGCTACTTGGGTCCTTACTTGAAGCAAACGCACGGGAACTTGCACAATCCCAACGCGACCGCGGACTGCCAGTTGTGCTCGATTTCCTCAACAGACCAGTTCCTGGCCAGCATCAACATCTACTTCTCGGACCACTGGCGCAATATCGGACTGCTCTTTGTGTACGTGGGCTTTAATGTGGTGGCGGCCGTTTTCTTCTACTGGTTGATTCGCGTGCCGAAGCATTGGTCGCGGAAGGTCAAGAAGGAGTAGAGTGGAGGCTGGATTGGCATTTACGATCCGATAGAACAGTTCTGTGGCTTGCCGGGCACATCTTTTGTTGATCCTTGTGCCGTGTGCCCCGCGAGCTTTACAAGTACATATGTATAGCGGGTTATTTTCATTTGGATTTTAAATTATTTTTTTTTTTTGGGGGGGGGGGGGGGGGGGGGGGGTTAATAATAGCAACATGCGCAGGGTTGGCCGTTGATATACGGTACAGCCACTCAGCACGTACCAATTGAACTATGTATGGTTTGGAACACCAACAAAGGCAAGGCAGATCGAGGTGGGGGCCAAGACCGGATGGTTCGGGACACCTCCATTGCTTAGTGAAACTCTGTACTAGGTACTGTGGACCGCTGCCTCAGGGTTTCAGTGGTCAAAATAGTGAACCACCGGCGGGGTGATCATTCAAGCCTAGACTTCTTGTTCGTTTTCCGCTGGGTTACCGCGTGGGGACCATGCGTTGAGGTGTCCGAACTGATCTGCCTAAGGGGGTGTGCTGTGTGGTTGGCCCGTTCGTATCCTTCGGGGACTTAAGAAACAGCTAATGATGAGTCGGGACCCCTAAGTACTGCTCTCAGAATAGAGTGAGCGCGAAACGTGGCTGATTAATAATGCTAGGGAGCCATGATGGCATTGAAATGGGTTAGTAGGGACGCCAGGCTAAACTAGCTGCGGCAGGTCGACAGGGATCGAGTCATAGCGCATGAAATAATCGGGAAGGAGGATGCTGTGGGCGGGAAAGGGAAGCGAGCCCCCATGGCGCTGGGTCGGGTTGGGATTAGCGCTTTGGGGTCCAAAGGTTGCGAGAAAACGCCCTGTTCTAGTTTAGAGCGGCGATTAACCGTTTTGTATCGTTCTTCTTTTACTCCACCCCCGGCACAACTGGCTCGGGTGTGGGTTCGAGGGTGGAAAGCCCTAAGTGGTCAGCTTCTAATCCTGGACAGGCAGTACGCGACGGTCTTGGTGCCGCATCGCACAATACTCATCGCGGCTGACAATAATAATTCTTTGTGCTGAAGAACAATCAAGGAGGATTATTCTCAGGGTCAATCCGACTGCTTTGTCCATTCATTCTCTTAAAAGTACGGGCACCTCCTTTCGAGCAATGTCGGAGTCCGAAGTCGAGTCAGCCATCGCTGCTCTAGTTACGGACACTGCGTCAGAGGCGATCCTATCCGAGCGGATCAGCGCCCTATCGGGCATATTGTACACTCCCAGACCGGATAGAGCACATGTGGGAGGGTCCACCGGCCTGAGTCGCGCGTTGAATCCGAAGTGGCCAACCAGAGACCCGACAGATGTGGATAAGCCAACGGACTTGGGACTTTGAGGCTCAATCGGCCCCACGAGCCCAGAAATTGTTTTGCCGTTTGGCAGCGTGTGTATGTATTCAATTCATTATTACACTAGAATGCAACGGGGTCCGGTGCGGCGGTGCCTGATGGACGGGGATCATCATAGGTCAGGTACCATAATCAAGCAGTTACTTTATTTATGATCAGGCGTGCCACGAGACTGAGTTACTTCCCCTTCTCTTTCTTCACATCCTTTCTTCGTCCTTCTCTACTCAACTATGGACTATTATCCGTCCTACACGGATCTGCCACATATCGTCTCCATGTCGTGTGCTTCTTCCCAGGCCTATGATGCCTATGCTCCAGATGGTTCTCTTCCGGCCGACCACCCTTTTGTGACCCGAGAGTCTCCCATATTTCAGCTAGACGCCGTGGAATCCAAACCCCGGGATGATACCGTTCCCTCCCAAACATGGTGGAAGGGCGATGCGACCGCTTATGCCATGGACTATATGCCTCCAACTGCGTTGAACCCTTACCATAACCGTTTTGCCTCTTGGAACAGCGGGCTTTCTACTGTCTCAGAACCTCAAAGCCCACACAGCACCAACAGCGGCAGTGTGCCAGCCATGAGTTGCTACACGTCTCCACCTCTCCGGCATGAGGATGTCACCATCTCTGCTTTAGACAACGAGGACGCATCATATCCGACCCCAGGCAACCTAACAGTACCCAATCCTCGCGCTTATGAGGTACTGCCGGACAATCACCTCTCTCCCTATAGCGAAGTGCACTCGGACTTCGATACCTGGTCATGCAGCCATTCTGATCGCTATCCTACTCCTGAGCAAGCCTGGGCCTCTCCCATGCAACCCGAGACCGTGGCTGCCCTTCCAAAATACTCGCGGCGATCCAAGTCCCGGTGCTCATCTACTGACCGCGTGCAAAAGAGCACGGCACAACGACGGCCCAACTCTGCTCCTGGCCGTGGCCGAAAGCGACGCGGAGCAACCAGTAACCCAAATGATGATAATTGGCCACGAGTGTTTATTTGCAGCTTTGCTTCGTATGGCTGCGAGAGCACCTTTGTGTCGAAGAACGAGTGGAAGCGGCATGTCACCTCTCAGCACCTCCAGCTGGGCTTCTACCGCTGCGACGTGGGAAAGTGCAGCGCGCACATCAATCGCACCCGATCAGGCCATCTACACTCACCATCCACCTCATCCAGCTACCGATCTGTTACTCCTCCGCCCGGCCAGCCCAACGACTTCAACCGCAAGGACCTTTTCACACAACACCAGCGCCGCATGCACGCACCCTGGCTACAGTCGGGGCAGCGGCGAACCCCTAGTGATGCGGAGCGTGCTGCCTTCGAAAACAGTCTGGAGCAAGTCCGCCGGCGCTGCTGGCAAGCAATACGACAGCCGCCCGCCATCAGCAACTGCGGCTTCTGCGGCCAGAGCTTTTCTGGTGAGGGTAGCTGGGATGCTCGCATGGAGCATGTTGGGCGGCACTTTGAACGCGAGAATCCCGAGCAACGTGGCTACGAGGGCGAGGACCAGTTCGTGAGAGATTGGGGTCTCCATGAGGGTATCCTGGCGCTGGTGAATGGTCAAATTCGGCTGGCCTCGCTCGTACGAGCTGATTAAATTTCTCTATTGTCTGCTACACTATACAGGATATGGGCGTTTGAGAGGGATTGTTTTCTCTATACTGTGTTATGCTTATGCGATTATGACCGTTCTGTGTTTCTGGTGTATATACTAGTGGAAGACGGTGTCCAAGTATCACGAATGAATAATGAAACCCTGGACAGACTGATTTCACTTGAGACTGCTGCCTTGGATATACATAGAACACGCCGATCGCATTATTGGCTATGGTGGCATGGTAGGGGCGCAAAGTTAGGATCACACCTGGCCCCAGACTAGATAAGTGCTGATCCCAACACGCCTCCGTAGCCCAAGGATGTCAGTATCCTGTCCGCCTTGGAACTAAAGAGAAGCCAGGGGTAAAAGAAGCAACAAAATCAACCGGCGCCGTACATAAGCGGAAAGTCAAGTGTGATCGACGGCGAGTCACTTTGCAAAATCCTTCGGGCGAATTTTTTACCACATCGAGTAGACAAGCAAGTGCAAGGCGCGGCACCCGGGACGGTCGGTAGCCCCTGAATAGAGGTCCACAGTACTCAACTATGTAACCAACGACGTATGGGAAAGATAAAGCAACTTAAGGGAGCTGCGAAGTGTGGAAAGTTTAATTGACAAGGCGGGACAACTAGTACATACTCCTGGTGCGAAAGAGGCGCAATGGACTCAGTTCTGGGGCCGACATTATTGTGGAACCCAAGGTAAATCAATGCAGGGCATGATTCAGTCATGTTTCATGTTTGACTCGCCTGTCTGTTTCTCTCGTTCAGCGTTGAGTGACGTGTCCGGGGGTAATTCCCCAGAATTGGGCATCAGCCTGGGACTTGTCATATTATTAATTCTGGGATGGCATTCCAGTCCAGGACACTCTAGATACTCCGTACTTACTCTGTACGCAGAGCGTACACGGTTGCGTGGGCGCCATCCTGGTGAATCTCGGACAAATGCCGGTATTTGACTATTTCGCTGAACTTTCCGAACCCAAGTTCGGAAGGTCTCTGACGAGCCCCTATTTGTAATTCCCTCATTGAAACAGGTTCTTTCCTATTAAAAATAGGTTTTCTTGCTTCTTGGCACCTCTACCTCGCGTTGATGGCTGTTAAACCCACATTTCCGCAGCTGTTTTTGTTGCCTAAGGCGGCCAGGCCCGGTGCAGTGACACCATCATCGGCACAAGGCAATAATACATTATTCCCAGAAACAAGCTAATAGAAACGCAGTCCGACAAACGCTATTCACCGGTTAATTGAGTAAAGGAGACCGAGGAGACAAAAGAACCTATAAGGCTTGGCAGAAGCGGCATCTACGCATCCCAATCCAACGAAGAAACGCAAGGACCACTACTGTAATACAAATGCCGTGAATAACTTAAAGAATGTGGGGGGAGTCGACAAGAAGGATGTCCCGTATCGGATCTTCTTGACAGGTTCCCATCAAGATCTACTTTTCCGTCCGGGATTATTCTCCCCACCAATCTCGTCCTTCCAAATCCGGTAATGCAGCCGACGAGGCTCGCGCCCGGTACGCTAGTTCATAGGGCAGCGGCTTGTGCCGCTCAAGGAACATTCTGGTGATCTGAGCGCTCTGGCAGGTTTGAAGGGGACGATTGACAGTTCGGCATGCTTAGCCCTATCGTCCCAGTGCTCTGGTGTTTGGGAGCCTTGTCCGGAGACCCTGATCCATCTCCAGGGGCTGGTTACGAACTAGTTGATAAGATTGCGCTACGACCAGGGGCCGTCAAAACCAAAAACCCCCTGCAGAGTCTCTCTTCAGAGTTTATGCTATACGGCAACCAGACAAAGTGCAGCGCACTGGTATTATCGGAGGATCTGGAGTGACGATTGACGAATCTTGCGAATGGTACTATACTACTGCGTACACTGAGTGGACCGATGGTGAGATGCATATATATTTAGCATATCTGTTGAACAGCTCGGCCGTAAGACTTCTATCGCTCTCAGATATAAAAGGCATGGGCTGTAGTCAACGCTATCGAGACGTTCGCCGACACGTACGGGCTCAGGATGATCTTCAACTAAAACAAACCGCGGCTAGCGCAAGGGCAGGTAATGGCACAGAAGCCAGCTCCACGCACAATAATCGAATTCGGCTCGTTCGTCAGTAAATACCGCCTTGGCCTTAGGCGCCATCCTGCGCGACATCCACGGTGAGAACTTGCCGGGGGATGTGAAGGTGTACACATTCGACATGGATCCTGTCATGGCGGCGCTGGCGTGGATCTGGTTAAGCTGGCAGGGCTGGAAAGCACAGTGCATGTACTGGAGGGACCCGGTAGCGAGTCCTTGTAAAAGCTGGTGTCTGATGGCGCAGTCAAGTACGTGGACATGGCCTTCTTCGACCACTGGGAGGAGTTCTATCCGCCTAATTTGTAACTTGTCGAACGACTCAAGCCCTGGCGTGTCGGGTCACTGGCCATTGCCGATAACACTGACTATCCTGATGCGCCGGCGTATCGCCAGTATGTTCAGGAGGGGGCAGGCGGCTGGCTGGCGCGGTGAAGTATGAGAGCCGCTCGCTGGAGACACCAGGGGTAAAGCAAGGCCCGCTATAGTTCATACATTTGTCGGAATATTAGAGAAGCTGACTATGACTATTATCACAAAACATTGTGGAAGTGAGCAAAGTGTTGGCTGTCGAGTAGAGACGTTGAACTAAATATGTATCTGGCCAATTGTGTGCAACAGACATACTGTCAGAGATGATCAGGGGTGCTCAGATGATGATAGAACACCCCTTGCTCTAAATAATTATCTCGCATAGTTATTTTACTACCTATGATTATTGTAGCTCGACTTGCCGATGTCTGTATACTACTGTGCCCGTGACTGCGCGTCCCTGATTGGCCCGTCGCTCTCCCCGTCTTCTCCTTCTCAATCTCCGACCACCGATGAGCAACCACCTTTGATCCCCCCATTCCTTCTTGGCTCGGAATTGTTTTCGCTTAGGTGCATCATCCTCTGGAAGGCATGCTGCACACGCTCCTCTAGCCCTCCTCGCTCCCTCCGGCCACGCTGTCTGGAGCCCCAGACTCGACTATGTACCGCGCCCCGGGCACCACCTCCCTCTTTTGCGCTGACATTCATTCTCTGCAGGGCCGTCTTCTCGCTGATCATCATTAACAAGGCCGGCGGCCTGATCTACCAACGCGAATTCCAAGCCGGCCTGCGCAAGCTGTCAACCAATGACTACTTGGTACTGGCGGGCACCTTTCACGGGTAGGAAAGACCGCAATCCCTGTTGCATGCACATCCCTCTAATGCGAGCTAGTGTCCACGCCATTACCCGCTCCATCACACCCAAGATGCCACTCGCTCCAACAGCCTCCTCCCCCGCCGCGTCGTCGCCGAGCACCAGCACCCCCGTCTCGTCGGGGTACGCATACCCGAACCCCGGCGTCGCCGCCACGGGCATCGAAGAGCTTGAGACAGACAAGTTTCGCCTGACATGTTTCCAGACTATGACAGGGACAAAGTTCCTGCTGTTTACGGACCCGATGAGCGGCAATGTTGACGTTATCATTAACAAGATCTACGAGCTGTATGCGGACTACGTGATGAAGAACCCATTCTACCAGCTGGAGATGCCTGTGCGTTGTGAGGCGTTTGACCGGCATCTGGGGGCGTGGTTGAGAGGGCGCACTTGAGCTATAAAATAAGATCATGACCTTTACGAATTAGAGATTCGGGACAGAAGAGGCCCTACCCTCGGCGCTTCTCTCTACCTATTGCACAACCCCAATTGAAAGAATAATATTTCCCCCTTGCACAAGCACTTCTCTAGAAGGCCGACTCGAGAATACAAAATAGAAGACAGACAAACGCCGGGTATGCATCACAGATCATGGCCACGAACCAAGAGCGGGTACACCTACGCCGTATCCATCTTGTCCTCGTCCTTCTTATCTTTGTCACCGCTAGACTCGCCCTGGCCTTCCTCGGGGATATTACCAAGCTGCGTCTTGCCCTCTGCCTCCTCGCGCTCGAGGCGCTCCTTCTCCTGCCGGTTCTTCTCTTCCTCCAGCGATAATCGTAGCGCAAACGCCAGCTCGGGATCGTTCTCAGCGGCGTCCTCAAATCCAAAGCCACCGGCCTCACCACCCTCGCCGCCCTCGCCCGCACCGGCGCCACCACCACCTTCGCCCGCCAGGATCGGGGTCATCTGCAGCTCCTCGCTGAGCAGGTGCGGGCCCGGTGGGATGATGGCCAGATGCGACCCGTCGCCGCTTTTAACATTGTCCACAAAGGCTTCCAGTTTCTTGGTCTGGTCGGACTCCAGGTCCCCAAACGCCACCACATCGATCGACACGTTGTTCTTCTTCATCTTCTTCGCTAGCTTCACGAGCGTCTTCTCGTCCTCCTCGATCGGCGAGCACGAGAACACGACGATGCGTTGCCGCTGCGACTTTTCCGAGCGGTGCTTAAGAGCCAACTGGGGATGAAGCGAGTCAGCTAGGAGCTCAAGCATAAGCTTGGATGTAGAAGGACCTACCCCGGCAACCTGGATGCTCGAGCCCAAATGCGATGTGCCGTGGATCTTCGTCCGGTGCAGGCCCGCCAGAATGCTCCCGAAATCAGTCGTGAAGGTCGACAGCACCTCGGGGCCCTTGCCGCCCATGCTCATGAGGCCGACGGCTGACTGGGGATGTACGCGCATCTTGGCGCCATGGAGAACGCTAACGGCATCGACCTGAGCTTGCCACCGAGTCGATCTAAGGCGTATTAGCTTGAGAGAAGGAGTGGAAGCTCCAATTCGACTCACGTGTAGTCTCCGTTGCGACTGCTCTCGGAGTTGTCGACGCTGCAGGAGAGGTCAGTAGGAGCTTGGATCGGGGGGATCTGTCAATGACGCACATGATCATGGTAGCTTCGAGCGACATCTTGGCGGTCGTGAATGGGTGTCGGAGGAGGAGATGATGGAGGACCGGAGAAGAGAAAACAGGAGATGAGGGTATTTGACTAACTAATAATGAATTGGCGAAGAGAAGCAGGATGATGACAGTCGGTCACGGGGGAGGGATTCTGCCGCGGCATTCCGCCCTGTTAAGTCAGCATGTTTGTTGTGGGCGCGGCTCTCTCTAGCAACTACTGGTACAACCTCGACAACATCGACTCGACATCTTCGCCTCTTGTTTTGTTTGATTTCTTCAATTTTATTTAAGCCATGTCTACCGCAATGAAGCGCAAGTCGCCGGAAATTACTGGCGCGGACGACGTTGCCACGCCCACGGGCAGTCCGACGAAGAAGATGCGCATGACACAGAGCCAGAAGCAGGCATTGATGGATAATCTGCAGCTTGAAAGTGCGTTGCAGATAAGATCTTGACGCTCAATCTTACTGACTTGTTTACAGTCACCGACCGAGCTCGTAAGCTTCGTGCTCAGTATGCTCTCCAAGCGCATGATCTTCGGGCGCGCATGGAACGACGCGTCAACCGGATCCCCATTTCTCAGCGAAAGGAAATCATGGCCGACCTGCTCGAAAGACACAGTTCCGCGTCGCTCTCGGCATCGCCATCGCGAAAACAGGTCCCCTCGAAGGCCACACGGCATGCAACTAACATCTCCGTTGACCCGGAAACTTCAACCGTTGGAGCACGAGATGGCCGGGTGAAGCGAACTAGGTAAGATAATCCATGAAACCCTACTGAGAATTCAGCTAATGGTACTCCAATTAGCCATGAGGGCCACTATTCCGACAAAGAGAACGCGCCTGCAGCCGACACCCCGGAAGGACTGAAGAATCCCAAGCGCCGCGGCAAGGCCGGCGCCTCGCGAGTGGTGTCACAGGATGTGAGAGAGAATGACCACCGGATCCTTTCGCCCAAGTCGCTCAATTCGCGCACCTACCCGCACTCCCCCTTCCGGGCCGTCTCGCCCGAAAAGGCAGGTCAGTCATATGCGTCGCGGCCGACATCACCGCTGAAGCCCTCAAGCCCTCTGAAAGGCACTGGTGCTAGCACCTATGATAATGCGCGCACGCGACCACGCGGCGCCACCACGTCCACTGCCAGGCCCCCCGCGCCAGCGAAGAAGACCACCGCCAACCGCGCTGCCACGGGACCCAAGACTGTCCGCTCGCCTGGGCCTCGCCCCGCCACGAGACAGGGGGAGCGCAAGAATAGTACCGGAACCGTCTCATCCACTACATCCTCCGGCACGACGGTTATGAAGACCGCGCGGACCGGCGCCGGCGCCCGCAAAGCAACGACCGGGATGAGCATGTCGGCTGCTGCCGCTGCGAAGAAACCCACGATTCCTCGCACGCAGACAGCTTCGCTGGCTGTCAAGAAGACCGCTGCTACCACAGCTCGGAAGACTACTGCACCGGCTGCAATGACGGAGAGCTCGACGGCTGGGAGACGGGCGCTGCGGAAACGGGTGTAGATTGATTGGTATGCGGCCATAGTTGGAATTTTGTTTTGGTAGGCATCGAATTGCAGATTGTCAGGAGTTTAATGTCCTTTTCAGCGTGGACTTGATGATGCAGAGAAATAAGCTGAGTTTGGGCGTTGACTTGCGTTTTGGTGTTTTATGATACTCTTGCTTGAGGACTCATAATTAGTGGACAGGGAGTGTTTTATTTTTCGTTGTTTTGCTTTTTTATTTAGGCCTTTGTTTCTTTGCACTGAATTGAGTATTCAAGTCTCGATTGAATCCACTTGGTTCGAATTCCATCTTCGTCTTCATCTTTACAGAAATCAACAGACACTGCACACTAATCCGAGTAATCATCTAGGCAAGTAGACCTTCCAGAAGAATCCATTTGTCCAGCTAGAACGTCAGCGGAAGTAGGCCTTTATTCGTATTCCAGGACAAGTGTGTAACACAACATAGGCAAGAAACCTAGTAGTCTCGGACAGTGATAGCGTAACAAGACAGAGAGACTGTAGTCCAAGACATGAAGCAAAAAAAGTCCAGTCCTGACTAGGTGGATAACAGATACAGAGAGAGCACAGGTATCATGTCAAACAATCATGCTTGCTGTGAAAGGGAGACCAAAGGGAAAACACACCGATCAATGGAACTCACTGGGGAAAAAAAGAAAAGAAAAGAAACTTGAATAAATAGGAAGTACTCCTATTCCAACAAGACGAGGGAAAGGAAAAGCAAAGCAAACCCCTAGAACTAATTAGCCCAGTGGAAAACCTGAGCAAGCTCATGATTGAAAGAAAGTCACACAACACAACGTGTAGGGTCCATTTGGGCTGGTATGGGTATGATGGATGCCCGGAATCAGATGCAACAAACAATCAAACAAAGGCATCGGACACCTCGTACAAAATTCAACAGAAACCAAACCAAACAGCTCATCCATCGCGACCACACTCATCATCCATGATCACTAGTGGGAATTTTGAATATCATGTGTAAAAGAAAAGAAAAAGAACTCCGTCTGTCAATCCTGTTAGACAAGATGAAAAAGAACGCTAATCAACCCCTCAGAAAAGAAAACAACAACAATACACCATGGGTAATGAAAACTAGACCCAGAGGACGAGCCGATGCAAGGCGGAGGTCATCTAGATATGTCTGTGTATGAGAATATGAAGGAGAAAAGTCCGGGCTCTATCCAGGGACACCCATGGCACCCGGGCTAGGCCGTGGTCGGTATGGGAGATTCTGGCCTTGAGGATCATTTTGCTGGCTGCCGTTGCTGACACTTCGGTCACGGTAGTTTGCCGGTGCTGGTCCAAAGTCGAGGCCGGCTTGAGGACCCTGGCTGCCAGAATGCGAGTGGCCACTAGGGCCGGGGACGTGGCGCACCGAGCTCTGCATCTGCCAGGCAGTGTCCTGGGACGGATCAGTCTCGATGCGCGCCGAGGTCGGCGTGTTGTTGCCTCGGTTTGAATTGTTGATGGTAAACGTCTCGCCGCCGTTATCGGGTCTCTGCGAGAAGCTGCCACGAGCAATGTCGCCATACCGCTTCAGGATTTCTTTTGTTGTCACTTCGGCATTCTCTTTGAAGAGGCTGGGATCGCTGAGGATGGATTGGAGATCCTCGGGGATCTATGGAAACAAACGTCAGCATCGAGTCCGTTGAGAATGAATACGGTACTACTTACCTCGCACATGGTGTCGTTATAGGTGATCAGGGCGTTGACGGCTTCAATGGACAAGAAGCTCTCCTCAACAGTGCTATTCTTAGCATTCGGGTAGAGAATATTGGGTGTCATGACTGTTGCGAGATTGTGAATGTCCATCTTGCTTCCAGACTCCTCGTCCACGTGGGAAAATGAAGAAGTCCAGTTCAGGAAGGCAAAGAGAATTTCCAGGGTGTCCCGGTGAGGTTTCGGCAGGAGACAACAGGCCAGGTGGAGCACCCGCTTTTGTTTTTCGGGGTCGGAGAGCTTTTGAGAGGTAACGAAGAGGCGGTGGAGCTTAAAGGTCATGAGGGGATCGGGCATTTCACGAAGGAACTTCTTCAGCAGAGCGGCAATTTGCACTGGGTTTTCCTTCGCCAAATCGACCTGATCATACTTCGTGTCTATCATTTCCGCGATCTCCTTCAATCGTCGAATGTTGCCGTTCTTCCGGAAGACGCCTTCAACTGACATGTCCATCTGGCGCATGGCGGAAACTGAATCATCCACCAACGCGGGAACACGCAGAGCACCTGGGCCGACGCCATGGCTGGATTCCGTGCCCTCCTTCTCGACCAGATAATCCAAGGCAACTCCAAAGACACCCTTCTTCTTGCCAGCTTTCTTGTTGTCCTTGAAAGCACGGCCAAAAATGTTCCAGATGGTCGGCTTGCGGGACTCAATGAGAGACAGCAGTTCCTCCAAATTGAAATGACCTTCCAGCAGAGGTTCCATTGACAGTACAGCGACGTGGCGAACAATAAAATACTCCAGTGCAGTGAGCTCCGAGAAGTACCGCTTGGTACGACCAGTGGGCTCCATGATCATGTCCAGATTGCCGCCTGACATCTCTCGCTGGTGGCCGCGGTTGTATTTCGCCATCGGCTCTCCAGCCCCAATAAGCTTGGTGCCAGCATGTTTGTAGGCATTGGGCCGTTGCTCCTTGGCTTGCTCGGCCGCAACAATGCGCGGGATGTCATCGAGCGTTAGGGCGTCCTGGTTGCCGAAGGTCAGATCTGTCACAGTCTCCCCATTGGCGTCTCTCTCCTCAACAATTTGGAACCCGGGACCACGTGGATCGCTGCCGTCTGCGCCAGACGATCCGGGTCGTGCACTCCGGCCTTCAGGGCCATCGATAATGCGGGATGCACGGGCCCTCTTGTATGTCGTGGACAGGGTCCGCTCATTGCGAATTGAGCGGAGGCGGCGCATTTCGCCCACTGTTTGTTCCAGAGACGACTCCTGTTGGCCATCCCGGCTAGTACTGTACGAATGGGAACGCGTATTTGACAGGCGTTTCTGGTTGGGCGCCGCTCGGTGACCTTCTGTGCTCTCGTAATCCTGGAGATTGGGGTCATCGGATGTGTGAGGCAGTGTTCCTCCCGCTCGAAGCACAGCGAGAAGTCGGGCGAGTGCCACCTTGAGAAGGAAGACGAACTGCTGCAGTTTCGTCACACGCACGAAGCCTCCTTGGACAGTGGGGCCCAGATTGGCATGGCTCGCACATGCGTTGCAATATACCCGCTGCTCGCTTTCATTCCACAATGCATCTGACAGCTCAACCGTCAAGTCCTTTTCACAGCCCGAGCAGGCCAAATGAGGCGGCTTGAGGTGCCATCGGCGCTCTCCCCACATGAGGCACTCGTCATCAATCGGTTCTTTGCAGGCAATGCAGCAGTCCGAGAGTTGATCAGCCAAGCCCTCAACCCCAGCCATCAGGTCGATGGGGGCCTCCTCATCCTCTGGTAGAGTGAGCGAGTCAAGGTTTGAAAGCTGTGTCAGGAATTGGTGAAGTC